GAAGAGGAGGGCCCAGCCGTCCCAGCTCCTCAGCTGAGCCCAGCCCCAGCCGACACACCAGATGAAGGCAGTCACAGGAGTGCCACTGAAATGCTCGTCAAAAGCCCAGCTGAATTGTAGAATTGTGAGCAAATGAAATGCTTGTTGTTTTAAGCCACTAGGTCTTGGGATGGCTTGTACGCAGCAATAGAGAAATGAAGGACTAACTAATGAGTCTTGTGGAGCTCCTATTTACGGTTCCTAAATGGAATTTTCTCACAATCTCATTTGCCACACCATTTTCTGCTCTAAGTTCTTAACCAGTCAGGGTGGCCATATACAGTTAGATGGGCTGTGCACTGCACCAGGGCATCCTGCCAAGGGAGCCAGTGGTGATCATTTGCCTGACCTTTGCCTAAACAGGGCACTTTCTCCGAATCGCATGAATATGCCTTATGAGCTCCCAGAGCTCTGACAAAGATGACTTGGTTGAATCAAATGCAAAATTGTTGACCTGGCCTCCGAGCTCCTTTGTTAACTGCCTGCTGTCGCCTCTGAACTCTTCTCCAACTTTCTCTGGCCAGTCTCTCTTTCCTCGTCTCCAGTCTTGGCTTGGCAGAGTTACGCTACCTCCCACCCTCAGACACGTCCATCTGCCTTCAGTCTGCAGCAGTTCCCAGATTGGGGCCGTGCCTTCCAGGGGAGGGTACAGTGAGGCCACCAACCCTCTGGGTACCCAGGCGCCAGGATATTTTCATCCTGTAAACGTCAGAGGACCAGATGTTTGCTCCCAGGCACATTTTTTAGGGATTTCCAAGCATGGTAAGGTAAGAAGGGATGGCGAAGCCACGTGGTATTCTGGTTTCCATCTTCCCACATGGAGGGCCAAGCCCGGGGGACATGAGTTTCTCTGACCCGGGGAGGGCTGTGCTTCCTTGGAGAAAGGTCCACAGGTACAGCACCCTCACCTGTGCCAGGGAAGCAGGTCTCCAGGGGGAAGTCTTTCCCTCACAATTCACAGCCCAACCAGAAAGCGAAATGTTCCCACACGCTGTGCAAATGGACTGTTGTGACACAGGAGACACGTTGTCGAACTTTGTAATCTTACCCTTCGTTAAATATTCAGCACAGACGATTTGATCTCTTCCTCCGCTCAGCTCCCCCTTCTTCCTTGGTGTCCCCTCCTCCTTTCATCCCCCCTCTCTGTTTTACCTGCCTTCTGGGAAGGGCTGACTCAGAGTCGCTCTCCTGGTAGGGACGCAGCAGAGGGGGTTTCTAGACATGAGACGAATGTACAGGTTGTTTTCTTTGACTTGAGAAGCTTTATAGGAAGTGCAGTCACAGCCTGGAGGAAACTGAGATGCATGTCCCACTGTGACTACCCAGATCATACCACAGGAATAGTCAACGTGCCAACTGTGGGAGGGGAAGTGCTGGGTGCTCAGCTGGCCTCATGCCGGAAGCAGATGGAGTCCTGGCCACGTGCCCTCTGCTCAGGGCTGCTTAGGATGACTAGCATTTCAGGGAAACTCAGCATCCTTCAGGGCAGTGGGCTAAACTAGCAATTTCTAAGCTGCTCCTTATTAAGGCTGGCCCACCTGAGCCAGTGATCTCCACAAATTTTGAAGGATGAGAGGCCTCTATGCAAAATATTCGCCTGGGACAATAGTTTGGCAACTGTAGGCTGGCAGCTGCAAAATAGAAGTAGTCGTAATAATTTTTTATATTATTATAAAGTAATTATTGCTACTTTTGATTGAGCAAATATGACAACTGCTCTCTCTATATTACCTCATTTAATCACTACAACAACTCTATGAAATAGGTAATATCTATTTTTGAAAATGAAGGCACCAAAGCTCAGAGTTTTAATAACTTTCCTGAGCTGGTAGGTGGCAGACCTGTGACTCAAACCTGATCGGAGTGAGGCCCACGCTCACATTCCTTCCCTCCACCCTCCCCTGCCCAGCAGCCGTGAGCATTGTCGCACCTTCAGCAGCACTGACCAGGCTGGCCCAGGAGCAGACAAGCTTGGTCACCCTCCTCCACACCTCCTGCCCACAGCTGCCGTCACCCGGCTACAGAGCAAATCCTCTGGTCTGCTCCACCACTGCCCTGGGGTTCAGCCCTTTGAATTTGAGAAATTGTGGAATAAAGCGAGCTTTGTTATACTGGGTCACCTTATGTTGATTCGCCAGAGTCCTGGTCAAGCCTCAAGTCTCTTGATGCCTATACGAAGAGCAGGTGTGATCTGTACCAAGTGAGGAGCTCAGTTCTAAGAGCAGCCGGCTCCTTTCCAGTCCATGGCAGGACTGGCATGGATGGGCCAGGCTGGGGGCAAGGACGCAGGCCCTTCTCCCTTCCCCACTGGGTGCTTGCCCAGCATTCTCCATGATGCAAAAGAAGAGTCAAACCTGGGTGCCTGATTTGGGATTTAATGGGCATTTATAGTGTCCTTGAAGCACATTTTTTTTTTTTTTTTTTTTTTTTTTGCTGAGGAAGATGTGCCCTGAGCTAATGTCCATTGCCAATCTTCCTCTTTTTTTTGCTTGAGGAAGATTAGCCCTGAGCTAACATCTGTGCCAATCTTCCTCTATCCTGTATGTGGGTAGCCACCACAGCACAGCTGTCAATGAGTGGTGTAGGTCCATGCCCAGGATCTGAACCCATGAACCTAGGCTGCTGAAGTGGAGTGCACCTAACTTAACCACTAGGCCACAAGGATGACCCCTGAAACACACCTTTTAAGACCCCATGGTGATTTCACACCCATTTATTCTAGCTGAGGTCTGAGAAGATCTAAATAAGGTACAGAGGCAGTCGCCATTCGTGGTGAATTCTCTTGAGCAGAGATGACAAATATTTTTGTGGAGAGAAAGCACTCTCTTCCTTCAACTCCCTCAGTAGGAGCTGCAGACAGAGGGGTGGCTTTGGGGCTTGGCTAGTGCAGGAGGCGAGAGTCAGCTAGCTGGGCCGTGGCTGGTGCTGACGTCCTTTCCGTAGTATTCATGAAGAGCTCTGCAAGTGAGGTCGCTATAATTTTCCCTCAATTTTCTTCATGAGTCTGGCCCTCAGGAAGAATTCAGCGAGGGGATGGAAGTAGAGAAGAGGAGAATATAGGAAGATAGTTTTACTGTGACATTCTGGATATGAGATAGGTTAGACTTTGTTTTATCTACTTAAACTTTTTCTAAATCTGTGTAGAATAAGTATCATGATAAGCCCCCTTGTGCAAGCTACTGAGGAAGGCTGGGTGGTCGCAGTCCCTGGATTGCTCTGGGAAGAAATTCTGTCAGCACTTGTTCAGCCTGGGTGCTTGGATATTGTGCCTTTGTGAAACCAGAAAAATGGGCTGCATAGAGACCGCCCCCACGAGACCTCGCAGTCCGTGACTTTATGTGTTCAGGGCACCGAGGGTGTGGTGGGACCAGCATACCCCGCTTGAAGCTGGGGTGTTGCATTTGAGGACCAGTTTCTCCCTCGCCCGATTTAGACCTTAGATAAGTCTCCTAACCTGTCCAGGCTCACCTTCTTCCTCTGTGAATTGGGGATGAATAATGAGGGTAACGGAAATGATGCTTCTCTCCCAAGGAAGCCATAACAATTCAAAAAATTAATGTATTAATACATGTGGAAATGCTTCATCAGCCCTAAAACACTCTGCAAATGTGAGTGTAAATGCTTCCACTTATTTGGGGTCTTCTCACCACAGCACCTAGGAGAACGCCACCCCCAGAGGATGCCCTCAACACAGATACATTTATGATGTCCTTTTATAGCCACATTGCAAAAAGCAAGTTATTCTAGAGCAGGATATAAACACTAAGTTTTTTTTTTTAAATCACAGACCTGTTTGAATATCTGATAAAAGCATGAACACTTTATCTCTCAAAAAAAAAACCCCAGCAAAATAAACCATGCTGATACATACATCCGATAACATTTTACATACAATTTCTGGGGGCTCCTAGTCTCCTAGAATGCCCATCTCAGCTTAAGAAAATGCCTCTGCTAGAGATTTACATGCTTCAGCTCTCTGAGAGGAGTCTGGGAGAGAAATAGACTGTGTGGAAAATGAATGCAATAATGATGTTTAGCATTTGCCTGAGAAAAATCCTAGAGGGAACAGCCCTGAGATTCTAATGTACTCAAACGATGCTCTTAAAAAAGTAGTTTGTGTCTGATTACAAACAGTGTATTTAAATGAAAATGAGCTCAAGCTAAAGGATGGGTCTGCCCGGATATGTGGCCACCCTCAGCTCGCTGAGGCTTTGTGCAGAAAGTTGTGGTCCAGACATCTGAATCCTCCGGCCCCACAATGGGCGGCTATCCGGTATCGGCTGCGAGGTCTCGTTACTGGGGGGTGAGGTGCCTCCAGGACGCTCGTATGCCTACTCAGAGCCCAGCTTATCGGGGATCTGAGAGCCTCCTGCCAACCCCCCTGGCCCTGTCCTATCTCGAGGGACTGGATTTGACCTCAAGCAACACACTATTTTTGGCTTAGTGGTGTCCTTGCACAGCAGGATTTCATTTCGGATACAGAGAGTTCAGGACCTGGGCCAGCTCAGCCAAGATGGACAGGTAAAAATCCATACCAAGATCAAGTCAAACCGAGCGAGACCACCTCCAGAAACAGAAAAGGAAAAAGAAAGAAAATAGCTGAGCAGGAGAAGTATTGTCACACTTTCCCCATCCACCTGGGGCCTTCGATGGAAGAGCACAGAAGGAATTTGCCTGAAATGGTGCTTAAAGCCAGCCAGGGCGCTTGCTGTTAAGCTCACGGTGCACTACCTCATATCTTCGGGTGGCTTATGACATCTTGGTTATTGGACGTAAATGTCGACCCCATGAGAGATGCCCAGGTCGCCCGCCTGACCGAGCCCACAGCTGCTGGGATTCCAGAGATCGGAGGCCTCCTGGCAGGCAGATGGCGGCACGCCTGCGTGTTGCCTTCTCTACCCCCAGCTAGATTAGGTGGCGCCGCGCAGGCAGCTGGAAGGCACCCACAGAGAGAAATCGAGCACTATGTTCAGAAAGATCCACTCCATCTTTAACTCCAGCCCGCAGAGGAAGGCGGAGGTGGCGGAGAGTTCCTGCTACGACGGAGCCAGCCCCTCGGTGAGGCTGATCCGCAGCAGCTCCATGTATGTGGTCGGCGACCACGGGGAGAAATTCAGCGAGTCCTTAAAGAAATACAAAAGCGCCAGCAGCATGGACACCAGCCTGTACTACCTGCAGCGGGAGGGGGACCGGGCCTGGATGTATTCGCGCACCCAGGACTGCCTGCAGTACTTACAGGAGCTGCTCGCCTTGCGCAAGAAGTATCTGAGCAGCCTCAACGACCTGAAGCCCAGCCGCGCCCGGGGCGCCTCCTCGACGTCCTCCAAATCCTCCAAGGGAGGAAAAAAGGCCCTTGGCCAGTCCACCTCCAAAGAGATGAAGGTAAGTGCCGCTGAGAAGTGCAGTTCAGAGTTCTTCCAGGAGCCTCGGAGGCCAGTTTGAAACCTGGCTCAGCCCCCGTCTCATCCACACGCAGTTTAATTAATGTGCACGTTCTGAGCAATGGCTCAGCTGTCTCTCAGAGGCTCTCCATTGCCTCGTCCCCGGCCTGGGGAAGGGTGGCCAGCCCCATGTAGATTTTTCCGGGCAGAGGCAACGGGGAGGAGCCGTTAACGGTGTCCCCAGAGCAGCCTGCAGGGAGGGCCTCGTCTTCAGTATCAGGGGGCACCGCTTCGCCTCGTCCATCTGTCACTTACCGCCCGCTTCATGGGTGAGATAACACTTACAGGGCATCTAAAAATCCCAGTGAAAAGTGACGTCTTCATGTGAACTAGATGTTTTAAAATCTATAAGTGTTTTGCCCCACATGAGCCAAACAGATAGAGGATTTGCTCCGTCTGTACCTTGGGCCCGGGTATTTTGGAAAAACCTGCACAGTCTCAGAGAGAGTCTGTGACTCCAAGGAGATGGCATGACAGCCTCGATGGGTTCTGGAGGCTTCAAGCCCAGTTAGACCAAGCAGGAAATGAGTGCAAGAAGTAACTTGCATTTATCTCATTGTTTACGCTTATCACAGTGTTTGTGCACATTATCTTTCTTTGAGCGTTCCAATAGTGTTGTAGGAGGCCGTGGGAGGACCTCCCTCTGTATCACAGAAGAGCAAGCCGAGGCTCGGTGACCTGATTCCAATAGGACCCCCGATTCATTCAGCTACTTGTTCCTTCATTTCCCTAGAGCAGGCCTGTCTCCCCCACATGCTAGCTGTCTCCCCAGAGGGCCCTGCAGGCAGTGCAAGCCCCCATTAATGCTGAATGACTGATTGGCCTGCTACCCAGTCTCTGAGGCTCGGCCTCGCCCACCTGGTTTCTACTGTCTGCATTTTATCCCAGGTGGGAGCAGCTTAAATAATCATTTGAACTCCCAAACTATGGCGGTGTTGGGGCTCATACAGAGGGTCCCCGCCTTAGGTCCCAGTACTGACCCTGTGGCCAGGCAGCTGTAGATTTGCGGGCCAGTCACCTATCCTTTGTGGCCACCTCCGATGACAGGGAGTTGAGGGGTTTCTGGCCTCCCTTCCGGCTTCAGAGCCCTGGGGTTCTAGGTTCTGCTTGGATGCCCTCCAGGCACAACATTCTCCTGCAAAATGCCGTCCTCTCTTGTAGAACCCTGCTCCCTGCCTGCCCGCTCCCTTCCTAGTTGAGTTGCCTGAAGACAGAGGGAGGACTTAGAGGCAGGATAACCGGCTGTGGCCCCTACAGGAATGGCCGTGAAGAGGGTCACAGACACGACACAGTGGATGGATTTCCTCAGGGGGCACCTCCTACCTGCTGTAACCAGGAAAGAGTTTTAAAATGACTTTGAAGTCAGTCAGACCAAGGCCTGAATTTTAGATCTGTGTTTACCACCTGTGTGTCTTTGTCAAGTTCAGTTGACCTCTCTGGGCCTCTCTTTCTGTAGCATACAAATGGGAATGAGACTATCCCTTATGAGGAGGAAGCAAGATCCTGCCTGTGATAGGACCTGGCACACCTTGCGTTGTCCGGGGTTTACTGACTCTGAAATGCGGTGTCAGGGCAGCCTGTAGACCAGCTGCTCTCCTTCCTCATCACGCCTGAAGAAAGAGCCGTGTGCTGGGTGTGCCTGAGAAATAAGAGATGCGGTCTCTCTGGCTAGCAAGGTGGCCTGTGGTAGCCTCGCTCTCTGTGCACAGCAGGGGCAGGGGACCAGGAGAGCGCCTTCCTTCTGAAATGTCATCACCTTCCCGCTCTGGTAGAAAATGCCTGCTGATATTCAGGTTTAGGGCCAAAACATTTTTTCCCCTGAACTCCTGTTATGTACTGAATTGTGTCTCCCCAAAATCTTATGTTTAAGTCCTGTCCCCCATCACCTCAGAAGGGGACCTTCTTTGGAAATAGGGTGATTACAGATATAATTAATTAGTTAGGGTGATTGCAGGTTATTAAGGTGGACATTTAATGCAATATCACTGGTGTCTTTATAAAAAGGGGAGGTTGGGGCACAGGCACGCACACACAGAGAATGCTGGTGAAGATTGGGGTTATTCCGCCACAAGCCAAGGAACTCCCAGAAGATAGGAGAGAGGCCTGGAACAGACCCTTCCCTAGGCTTTCAAAGACAGCATGGCCCTGCTGACACCTTGATCTCAGACTTCCAGCCTCCAGAACTATGAGACAAGAAATTTCTGTTGCTCTAAGCTGCCCAGCTTATGGTTCTTTATTATGGCAGCCCCAGGAAATGCATACACCCCTCTACAGAATTAGTCTTTTCTCTTCTCTGATGTTAATCTAAACAATTCTCTGTCCTGGTGTTTACCATGTCTTATTGTGGTTTGCTAACATGTGTGTCTCCCCTGGTGGACCACAGGAAGAGTGGTAAGTTTGATGATGCTGAAACAGTATCTTTGTCATTGTTCTATCCCCAGAGCATAGCAGTGAATACTTATTGGTCACTGATGTATGCTTTATAAACTTTAAAGTCGGTTGTTTTTCCGGGAAAGCTGGCCTCAGGTAGCGGGGAGCAGTGTTCCCTGGGCAACGGAGCACCACGGCAGCCCCTTCCTCCCTCCCCACAATTCCAGCCCCTGGCCTCGTCATAGAACCTAAGTTCCTCTGCCTGTCTCTCTTTTGGGGAAAGACAATGGCTTTTAAACTGTTCTGTTTAAAACTCTCAGTAAGAAGTATGTTTTAGATATTGACTCACTTTACCCAAACACACAACCGAAACGAAAGTGTCATGAAATAGACTTATTCTTGTTCTCTGTTATATAATCTGATGTTTTTCAAAGTATTCGATACCATTCTTTTTTATTTTTTAACCTTAGTCATGAAATGCTAAATTTATTTCACAAGCCACTACTGGGTTAAGACCCACAGTTTCTCACACCCTGGAGTAAGGCATTCCAATAGGTCCCCTTGAAATGCTAACGTGTCTAAGGCTTGAAGTGCCAGGGTGCCAAGTGGTCTGTTATCCCAGGCCCCTGGAGATACTAATTGCCTAGAAGGGCATCTCTGTGGGTCCATGGGAGGAGGAAGCGAGGACGGGCCAGAGGGGAGGTGAGCCTGGGGTGAGTGTGGGAAGCCGTCCTGGGCCCCCATATGGTGGAGGTCCTGGCCAGGCCCTGTGACAATCTGCTTCTCCCTCAGAATAGGAGGTCATTACAAAAATGAACGAAACACACTTTTTGCAACATTTTTAAATCAAAACAAACAAAAATCCATATCTCAGGTTTTTGTGTCAGTGTTGAGCATAAGCTGCAGTTTGGGACTCATCATATTTGGATGCTCAAATGTTAAAATTTCCAACACAGTGCAAAATTCATGTGGCGGAGGGACAGCATATTTGAAAGTGTCCTGTCCTGGAACATAGTGTTTCTGAACTGTTGGGGCAAGGCCACCTGACACCCCTGCCCTGGGCACCTCATGTGCTTCTGTGAGGGAAGAGAGGCAGTGATGGTCTCTTCCACACCCACCTCCCCTGGCTCCTGTGCCACAGCCCAGGCTCAATCAGGACCAATCAGCAGTTATTCCTGACTTTTAATCACCCTCCAAACCCCACAGTTTGAGTATTAGCCCCATTCTACAGATGAGAAAACCGGGGCTCAGAGACGTTAAGCAATTCATGTAAGTCTGTGCACCTGATAAAGAGAGAGCCAGGATTTAAACCTAGTCTGTATCATGTTAGAACTCACAGTCCTGTCAGTGTATCCACAGCAGCTTTTAACTGGAAAGCACATTTTGAGCTTGTCTAATCTGTATCAGATGTGGGAGTGTGCCCCTCAGGACGAGGCGAGGAGGCTGCTTTCTCCTGCACATCTGGGCCAGGGAGAATTGTCAGCCAGGTTCCTGTCTCCTACGCTGTGTGGATTCTGTGCAAGGGTGGAATTCTCCCAGGCGACCACATGGCCCATGCTTTCTTTATCCAGGAGAAACTTGGCTGGAAGCATGACTCATAGGCATGCTTTACGCTCTCCTCTCCACAATCCATGAGTAAAATTTCCCTCTGGACAGCTTCTCTTCACATGGCTGCCTCTGATTCCAATTTTACTCTTGGTCTCCGCAGCATCAAAACATTTAGTTGTATTATCTGCTTTTGCCTTTCTCAACACGCATGAGGGAGAAGCTGGGGAAACAGTGTGAGCACAGCTACAGTAAGAACTTCACAATCGGTAGGTACTGTGTCCTCAAATCATTTCAGCAGAAATACTCTCAGATTTCCCAACTCCTTCTTCAAAGTCTCTGACATGATCCACACACCAGCAGAATAACGTAGCAACAGAAACTGGAAAATCAGGAGAGAAAAAACATCAACATAAAATCAAGACCGCTCAAAAGAATATGCAGATCATACAGGCTAAATCAGCTGCCAAAAATGAGCTTTATCGACTCTGCACTTTCTGGAAGCTGCAATAAAAAGGGAGCTGGATTCATTTAAAAATTTTGGCTCTCTGAGAGGAAGAACCATACCCATTGCTTAGGGGAAGCGAGATTTTACCTGGCTTTAAATTCCAAAATTTCTCGTATGGGACTTGATACAGGGTATTGTATGTGATGTAATTTGTAATGCCCTCAATAATATTTTAGTAACAATTCATCAATAGATATATCATTCATTCGTTCCTTCATTCCTTCACCAACACATATTTATTGTGCGCGTGCTGCATGTCAGGAACTAGTCTAGATACTTGTAAGCAAGTCGAAATCCCTGTGCTCATGGGACAGTCTCTCTTGGGGGAGAGCAAGCTATAAACCAGCACACAGATTTCTGGTGGCGATTTCTCAGAGGCCCTGCTGTGACAACCAAGGGCGCAGCATTGCCCTGCCTCTTAGCGAGGGCCTAGGGAACGCCTGAGTACGAGGCATCTGCTGGTCCCTTCTGAACCCAGTGGAGAATTCAGACGTCAGAGGCATGGATGGACCACACAA